CCCCCCGCTGGCACTGACGGGGGCCGGGCGGCCTCACCTATGCCGGGGATGATGCGGAAGAGGTCGTTGACGCGCTTGTCGACCGCCGTGGTGATGATTCTCACGCGCGGGAAGGCATAGGCCACCGAGTGGACGCCCATCTCCGCCATGAGCAGCGACAGCAGGAAGATCTTGTCCTCGGGCACGTCGTGGTCCTGCGCGGAGAGGGCGTGAGCCGGGCCCAGCGCCGGCCCCCGCCGCCCGCCGCCCGCCCACTCACCAGCAGCACCCGCACCGCCATCATGGCCGCCGCGCCAGTGGACACTGTGCAGTCCATCAGGATCACGTGGTCGTCACTGATGTCCTTGGGGAGCCGCAGGTAGTGGAGCTGCAGGCAGCCACAGGGTCAGGGCGGCCCAAACCGAAGGCTGCACCTGGGTTCCCCGTGCCCCGCCCCCTCCCCAGAACTTCACCCCTGCCCTCCCCGCACCGGACGCCCCCTTCCGCCGGCCCCCCACCTCGGGCTCCCCGGTGAGCTGGTTGGTCTGGATGAGGATCGTGCCGATGCGCACGTCCTTGCACACGGCCCGCAGCGCAGGCTCCATGGTCTCACCGGCCCGCAGGATGGACACGCCTGTGATCTGGGGGGGGCGAGGCTGAGCTAGCCAGACCCCCGCCTCCCGGCCGCCCCAGTCCCTGTCGCCCAGGCCGGGCCCCCGGTACCTGCTTCCCCGCGTAGCACTTGCCGGAGTAGTCCTGGCCCTGCGGGGTCTGCACGACGCAGTCCTGAGCAGGGCGGGGGCAGGGCGTGAGCGCCAGGAGCCTCCCCTCCCCCCTACTCCCCCGGCCCCTCCCTGCCCCCGCCCCGCACCTGGAAGGGCAGGAAGGAGAGCGCGTGCTCGATGAGCAGCCGCATCAGCCTCTTCGAGTAGAAAATGAACTCGTCGCGGCTGGTCTCCCGGTCCCTGCCAACGGCGGGCCCGGTTGGGTTAGCGAAGGTCGGCCCCGCCCGCCCGCCTGGCCGGGGGAGTGGGAGGGGCCTCACCTGATGATGGTGTGCATGCCCCGCACCTGCGGCGTGCTCTTGAGGACACTCAGCGTCCGGGGCAGGGGGTGGCACTGGTGCGCTGAGGCCAGCGCGGCCCTGGGGACACAAAGCGACTAGGAACTCAAGAAGGGGCATCTTACCCCAGAGCCCCATCCTCCCGCCGCAGACCATAGGGGGCAGTCGTGGTGGGCACGGTAGGTGTGCAGGGTGGAGGCCACCCTCCCAGTGGCTGATCTGGAGGGAGGGCCCCATCCCGAGATGCCCTCCGCCGTAACAGCCAGGCAGTGGTTAAGGGACACGGTGGAAGGCAGAGCAGCTGACCGTTAGGCAGGAAGCAGGGGCTGCGGTGCGAGCCTCCCTTCCCGCTCCAGGTCCCCTCCCCGTTCAGGACCTGGCAGTGGGAGGGCGAGGCCTCACACGTGCAGATGAATCTTAGCCCCCAAGCTGGGCATCTGGACCCCAACCTCAGGACACCTCTCCCTGGGTAAACCAGCTGAGCTTTGGGGCCAAGCCCCGCCTAAGGCTTCCCCCCAGGTGATGTGCGGCCCCCTCAGGAGAGGCGGGCAGAGCTGGCTTCGCACTGCCCCTGCTGCCCCAGCCTGGAGCGGGGTGGGGCGGGGAGGAGGAGGCGGGGGGGGGGGGGGCGGGGCGGGGCGGAGCCTGCAGAGCGCCGGGCACACAGCGCGCAGGCAGCACCACGGCCAGAGCACTCTGTCCTCACAGATCCCAGCGCAGCTTCCTCTGCCCACCACGTGAAGAGGCGAAGAGTAGGTCAGGGAGGGAACAGGGCAGGAAACCCCAGGGTTTACAAGGAAGAGGAAAAGAAGAGAGAGAAAAGACCACTTAGCGGGGAGCACGGTGGTCTCCGTGGCCACCGGCTGGCCTGGGGAAGGGAAGAGCAGGAGGCTGGGTTGGCGGCAGGGAGACCCTGCAGCCCGCGCCCCCGGGCCCGCGAGCACCCGAGAGTCCACTGCATTCGGCCCTGCGGGTCCCTCCCTCCCAGCCACGCTTCCTGGAAACTTTTATTTCTCTGAGACAAGGTTTCCAGAGGACATGACGTGGCTAGACCCGCAGGTGCCCCAGGCCAGGTGAGAGGCAAGCGGAGACTCATGCGTGGGCATGAAGCTGGAGGCCGGCGCCCGGGCCTGGAGGCATTTCCAATGCAGCTCGAGCTGGAGGCCCGGTCTGGTGCTTTCCAGCTCCGCCGACCACTGCGTGGGGACGGGCGCCCCATCCCTCTCGTGGGCAGGAAGGACACGCAGCCCAGGACTCCTGGGGGCTCCTCCTGGCTCTCTGTGCCTTGGCTCCAGGGCCAGGGTGGGCCGGGGTGCCGGGATGCGGGGGGTGGGGTGCCTCAGCACCGCTTGGGGGAGTAAAGACCCGCCCCTCGGCTCAAGCAGAGAAGCTGCAGACCCAGGCCCTCTGGCTGCTGAAGGACAGGCCTGTGGCCACCGCCCTGGGGCACAGCGGTGCTGGCTCAGGACAGCTGTGCCCTCGGGTCTGACCCCACACAACCAGCCCGAAGTCGGGCAAGAGCCTCCAGAGAGGTCTGGCCAGCCTAGAGTCAGGGTGCTGTGTGAACTTGGGCAAACACCTTAACCTCTCTGGGCCTTAGTTCCCTTGACTACTGGCAAGGGCAGGCAGAAGCGGTGTGGCGGCCACCACACGACTCCTCCCGTCCTCCCGCGCCGGGGGTGGCTCCACCACAGGGGGCGGGCATGGTGGGAGGGGACCTCGCTGCCTGCCTGGGTGACAACCCGGACTCCGAGCTCCCTGTAGATGTTGGAAATGCCTCCGTCTGTGCAGACAGGTGTGGGAAGTCTTACCTGACACTGAGCTCACGCTGCGGCAGCGACACAGGGAGACACAAGGGAATGGGGTGGGGCGTCAGTGATAGCAGCACTGCTCACCTCAAAGTCACCGGATGGCACGGCCTGTCGCCACCGTGTGCCTCAGCCAGCCGGGCCACCCCCACCCGGGAACGGACACACCGCAGCCCCGTAGCGGGAGAGTCCCGGGGGCCTGCCTGCCATGGGAGGGGGCCAGCTCCCTGTGGCCTCCGGTGTGGGCACCTCTGGGCTGGGCTGCCAGAGCCAGGACCCTTGGGGCTCTGTTCCGCAGGCCCCGAGCACCCCATCGTGAAGCCTGCCTGAGGGGTGGGCGGCGCCCTGGGCCGGCCCGGGGTGCGTGACCTCCTAGGATGCTCAGGACGTGGGACTCGGCACCAAAACCCAACGGTGGCCCAAAAGGGTTTGGAGGGACAGGAGCGCACCCTTCCGTGCGAGGCCCAGCTCAGGCTGGGGGCGCTGGAGATACTCCGTGCCCCATGGTCCTTCAGGGAGCCCAGCTGCCTCTGGCCAGCACACGACGGGGCGGTAAACGTGGGGGCCGCCCAGGCAGGTGGCCGTGGGTGGTGGCAGTGGGGAGCAGGGCTGGCGGGGCCGCGGGAGCCTGGGCACTGGCTCACCTCTTCCAGCTGGCTGTGCACGTGCTGCACGATCAGATCGATGGCCACTGTGTTCCCGCTCCCTGGGTCGGGACAGGAGGGAGGGTGAGGTCCGGCCTTGCCCGCCCCCCACCCTCCCCCCACCAGGTGGGCCGCAGGCTCACCCCGGGGCACCACAATGTCCGCCACGCGCATGGTGGGCTGGATGTACTGATCGAAGGCGGGCTTCACAAACTTGTTGTACTGCTTGATGACACCCTCGATGTCCCGGCCCCGCTCGCTAATGTCACGGCGCAGCCGCCGCACGAGGCGGATGTCAGAGTCCGTGTCCACGAAGATTTTCATGTCCAGGAGCTGGACGGGGAGAGTGAGTTGCTGAAGAGGGCCTGACACAAGGGGCTCCAAGGCCCTGTCACCGGCAGGACCAGAGTGAGCACCAGGGGACGGCCTCCGGCAGAGACGTCTGGTCTGCGTGTGGGCCCAGGAGCAGACCAGGCCTGCGCGGCACCGCTAGGGTCTGGATGGGGCGGGGGCGGGGGGAGCGTGTGGTGTGGCTGCGTGGGGGGGCGGGTGTGCATTGCACGTGGAGTGTTGAGCGTGCGCGTGCGTGGCGAGCAGCGGGGCTCCTGGGGCCTGGGCACACTCACACTCGGGACCAGCGAAGGAGCAAAGGACAAGGGCATAGCCGGCTGTGCCCCCTCGGGCCCCGGCAGGGTGGGGAAGGTGGGTCCCGAGGCCTGGCCCGGAGTGGGTCACACCTGGGGCAGCTGCCCAGAGCCTCCCGGGGAGAGGATGTCCTCACAAGCAGTGCAGACGCAGGAGGCTGGCTGCCTCCCAGGCAAGAATACACACATGCACACCCACAGGTGAACCCACACCCCCAACATCGCTCTGACCTCGGCAGCCACGTGGACCCCAGAGAACAGCAGCCGAAGCCCTGACTCGGGGGGGTGGGGGTGGGGGTGAGATTCAGGAGCCAAGGCCGTTCCTCACCCAACCCTGGGGCTACGGCACGGGACAGGGATGCAGGCAAGTGTAAGGTGAGCCCCACGGGAGGATCAGGGAGCCAGGCCATCCGTCCTGGAAGCCGTCCTCACCTCCAGCAGTGTCTTGTCAGCAAAAGCCATGATGCCCTCGAAAATGATGACGTTTGCACCATAGAGCGTCTTCTGCAAAGGAACCGTGTGTGTTGAAGGGGCCCCGAGGCCCCTGCGCCAGCCCCGTGCAGCCGAGCCCGAGGGCGTATATACCCAGCCCTTCTTCCGGCTGTGGGTGGTGAAGTCGTAGACGGGCACCTTGACGCTCTTGCCCTGCTTCAGCTTCTTGAGGGTGGAGATGATGAGGTCGAAGTCAAAGGCATCTGGGTGGTCGAAGTTGAAGTTGTTGTGGGCGGCCTGCTCCTGCTGCTGCCTGGTGAGCACCTGCGGGGGAGGAGCAGCTGCGGGGGGAGGGGCACCTGCGGGGGAGGGGCACCTGCGGGGGTGGGGGTGGGGAGGAGCAGCCGCGGGCTCAGGCCCCAGGCCAGGGCAGGAGCCGTGGACCTCATGGAGGCAGCTGCTCACGCAGGACACCCTTACCTTGTAGAAGGAATCCATGGACAGCAAGACCACCCAGGGCACGTCCAGGGCCTCAATGATCATCCTGGCCACAGTGGTCTTCCCAGAAGCACTGCCGCCTCCCAGGCCTGTGGGGAGGGTCAGAGAGACCCTGAACGGAGCGGCCCAGGCCAGCCTCACAGATGGGTCCCAGCAGTACCCGCCCCCGGACGCTGCCTCCATCCCGGGTTGACCTGGACCAAGGGGCCCGAGGAGCGCGGGTCACGGAAACACCGGCTGGGGCATGGCGGTGGGTTCTGCCTGACCCGCCCACTCGGGGGTCTGGGCGGGCGGTGGCCTCGGCCCACCCACGCACCACAGCCACGCTCACCGATGGCGAAGGCCTCCTTGGACTGGGTGCCGTGCTCGTTGTACCAGGGCGGCCGCCCTGCCGTGTAGATGGTGCGCTTGCTGGTGCGCAGCAGGGGCGGCTCGGACTTGCACTGGCTGGTGGTGCGCTTCCGGGGCGAGCGCCCGGCGCCCACAGGTGGGAGAAGCCTGTCCAAGGACTCTGCGTTGCTGCTGCCGCTGCTGCTGGGGGGGGGCCACCAGCCCCCCTGCCACCCCACGCTGGGCCTGGTGTGACTGGTCCACGTGGTGCCTCCACGCAGGCACGTGGGCATGGCCAAGGTGAGCGGGCTTGTGGCGGGACACAGCAAACCTGGCTGCAGCCCGTCCGCTGGGCCCGGGGCCTCGGACTGCCACTGTCCACAAATCCAGAGGGACAGCAGGGGGCAAAGGAGGGTACAAGGGGAGCGCTGTCCGGGCCCAGCTCTTCCTCCCACGTGGACCGGGCCTCAGCAGGGCCACGAGGGCCCCCTTTCCCCCAGGAGATTAGAGGTGGGCACACCAAGGACAGTCAAGACCCTGTCGAGGACTGTGTCCTCTCACCAGACACACTCTGGGCGGCCCTCTAGTTTTGTGCCACCCTGTAGGACACGCAGGGAGAGGGACTCCAGAGACAGAGGCCGCTGACAAAAGGGATGGGCCAGCGGTGGTGTGGACGGACGGGGAGGGAGACCCGGGGCGCCCTGCTGAAGCGAGGAGGCCCCCAGAGGCTGTGCACAAGGTGGGAACCCGCCTGGGAGACGCAGACGCCATCTGTGCCTGCTCTCACCGTGCCACGCCACTCGAGCGGGGCTGTGCTGACTTCTCTGTAGGTTTATACCCCTAAAGGGCATGGAAGTGATGACTGGCCCAAGGCCTCAAGGCCTCAAAGCCTTCAGGGACGGCTGGGGAAGCTCGGCTCGGCTGAGGGCCCTAAGAGAGGCAGCGTCTGCCCGATGCCGGCTCAGTCTATGCTGAGAGGCTGGGACGCAGACCCAGTGTGAAGGTGGCCCCGGGGGCAGGACCAGCTTAGGGAGAAGGCACTTCCACCACCGCCTGAGAGAGAGACTGCCTACAGCGTCAGTTGGCAGACGCGCCCCAGAGACTCCGTAGGCAAGCTGATCGTCTAGGCAGGAAGAAAGTACCGGGAACCTGGGGGTGCACTGGACAACCCCGGCAGGATGGGTGTCCACCCACGGCTGGAGCCCCAGGGATGGATGCTGCTCGGGATGCAGGCGGGAACCCTGAGGAGGAGCCACACACGGAAGGCATCCTCGAGGCAAAGAGCCCCGAGCCGTAAGAGCCAGCGTGAGCCTGTGAGACACGTGCACAGAGACAGCCACCTGTCCTCGAAGCTCGCTGTCACCGCTACAGCCTCTGCTGTCACGGCCAGGGCGCACGGTGCTTGTGAAACTGGCCTGCTCAGGGTGGCCCGAGCATCCCCCGCCAGGAACACTGGCGTCTCCAGCTGTGCGGTGCTCCCAGCACACCCAGCGTTGCCAAGAGCCAGGAGGATGGTGCCTGTGTGCACACGTGTGTGGGGCGGGGGGGAGCAGTGGAAGGAATTAGCTCAGGCCTAACACGTGACGAGCCACACCAGCAGCTCTCGAGGGCACAGAGGGCTGTGTCAGCACAAGTTACGCAGGAGGAAAGCTGGCCACCGGACGTGACAGGAGGCGTGCAGTACCGTCCGGGGGACAGAAAGCACCGGGCCGCCTCAGTCCTCCGTCACTGGGACGGCGTGGGGAGCGAGCCCTGGGAATCACTGGCTGCCTGTGTTGCCTCTGGAAGGAGCAATTACTCGTCCGTGGAGCCAACAACACAGTGGGACACCCAGATGACGGGGCAGTGACAGCTCACTTGATGTCTCACTCAGCCAAGCAGGAGACAGACGGAGCACAAGCAGTGGTGTCTTCAAGCCCCGGCCGGAGGGCAGCGCTGGCCGTTCCCCTGGACGCACTCATCCCCCAACAGCGAGCACGGGGCCCCCAGGGCTCACACACAGCTGCCCTCCCCGCAAGAGACCCACAGACCCTGGAGATGACCGACAGCCTATAGCTGGGGAGGGGAGCTTCGCACAGCCCCAGAGGAAAAAGTCCAGCCTGTGCCTCCTACCCGGGGAGGTTTGCAAAGGAGCAGGGCCTCAGTGCCCCAGCAACCCCGCCCTTGTGCCCAGCACGCTCACGGACAGCCAGACGGCCTCGCGGGGCCGATGTGGGATGGGAGGCCTGGGCTGGCGCTGCTGCCGTCTCCCTGCTTTTCACCCCAGGCTGGTGCCCTGACCTCTCCGGCAGGAGCCCTCACCCCTCTCTGTGACTGACCCTTGTCCTACTGAGGTGACGACGGCCACTACCACGGACGACTTTCAAGGCCTGTGGCGCCGACAGCCCGGGACAGACACCTCCTCAGGGAAGAGCCCAAGGTTAGCCAGGGATGACCTTGCCAGAAATCTGCCCGGCCGAGGGCTTGCAATAGGCCTGACGGCATCAGGCCGATTCTGCAACCAAGTCCAGCTCCACTGCCTCCTCTGGAAGCCCGGCTCTCTCTCAAAGCCGGGGACAAAGCTCACTGTGCCCTCAGAGCAAGCCTCACCCCGTTTTCACAATGGGACAAACCGTGACATGGGAGAGACTTCACCTCCCTGCTCACAGATGGACAGGGTGCTGCCAGCCACAAGGACAAAAGTCCACCAAAGGGTTATGAGCCACATGGACACGGGTCGGCTGGTAACTGAGAGCCCCAAGCAAAGCCGGCAGCTGGTCCCCACGAGCACCTGGCCCGTCTCCGCCCTGACGTGCACTAGACACGGCACACGGGGCTGGGGGTGGCTGAGACGCAGCAAAGATGGGCATCCTCACCGGAAGACAGTAGGCCAGCCACTCACCTGCTTTCTGCTCCAAGGGTCCAGCACCCCGAGACCCTGATGCCAGGGTAAGCTTGGGGGCTGCTCATGGCCAGGACGCAGGGGAAACCGGCACAGCAGGGTGATCCCAGGTGTGTGCTCTGCCTCTTAGAGCACTGGCAGCCCCCCAGGACAGCTCAGGAGCCCCCTGAACTGCTCCTCCATGGGTGGGCAGCACAGCAGGTGAGAGGCTGAAGTGGGGTCCAGGCCCTGGCTGGCAGAGGCTGTCCCCTGGGAGGCGGGGGGCCAACAGGTGAGAGGCCCCAGGAGCCCGTGCAGAAGCAACGGCACTCAGCGCCGGCCTCAGAGGCCGAGGCTACGGGCATAAGAGGATCACCCGGCTGGGGGCTGTGCGCTGGCCTGATATTAATAGCACTGAGCTGCCGAGAACAGCTCAGGCCAGCGTCGGGTGTGAACTGCCCCTCCTGTGCTCAGGCTGGCACACTGCCCACCCAGGGCTGGCTGAGGACCACCGTGCCCCCCTCCTCCAGAACAGCCTGGAGAAAGCTCCAGACCTCTGGTCTGCCGGGGACGGCAGGGCCCACCCCCGCACCCCACCAGAGGGACAGGGAAATCGGAGGTGTCTCTTGGCCGCCAAGCTGTCAGCGAGCAGCGGAGCTGAGCTGAGGCACCCCTGCCCCCAGGTGCCTCGGAGAGGCATAAACAGCCTGAAACTCTACCCGGCTGAGGCCTCCTCCTCCTCCGAGAATAACTGCCCGCCCCCCCCACCCTCCACGAAGGCTCCAGCACGTCCCCCAAGGCCACCCGTGCTCAGCGCTCAGCTGGGGACACAGCCACGCCCCAGTCTGGCAGCAGGAGGCAGAGCAGGCCCTCGGGTGGGCGGCTGCAGTATTCACTCCCGTCCCAGGTCCCTGGCCCCCTCCCTGTGATTAATCCAGCCCACACACCAGCTTTTCTAGTCGGCTTCCGACAGCATCCAAGTGGAGACGGCTGGCGGGGGCTCAGGGAAGAAAGAGTTTCACTCGGGATCCGCACACTGAAGGGGGCCCCTCCCGGGCGCTGCCTCAGGGCAACAGGCCTGCCCCGCAGTAGCTGCTCCCTCCTGCTGCGGCCCTGCCCACCGCACTCAGGCGCACTCAGGCTCGGGGCTGAGGAGCCCTGATGCCCTGTCCTGCTTTAGGAAAGTTTCCCGGGGGAGTGAGTCAAACGAAGCCAGAAGCAGGAGGGAGGAGCTGGCCCGCTGGGGCCTGGCCTGGCCTGGGGAGGCGGGGCCGCCCCAGACTGGCTCAGGGACAGGGAAATCAGGGTAACTTTCTCAGAGCAGGGAGAGAACTGGGGGACTGGGGGGGCTGCAGCCCTAAAGAGGTGCAACAGGCTCCAGGAACTTGCACTGTTCCCACCCCACCCATTGGAAATCCCCCTGTGGGACCCCCCTCCCCCACTGCTCTAGGCGAGTCCAGCGGGCTTCCTTCCAGTCGCCCAGCGGCAGTCCCCAGACCCGTGCCCACCCAGACCTCACCAAGGGACAGCCCGAGGGGTACCCTGTCACCACTGCGAGGTGCTCACTTGTCCACCAGCATGTCCAGTGCAAAGGTAGGCCGAGGTCCCCGTCCTCACCGGACTGACCTTCCGGAGGGACAGGCACACAAGAAGCCACGGCAAGGTAGACCGACCGGACCACATCGTGCAGCCACGGTCATGCGGAAGGCGAAGCCGGAGCCGTGGTCAGGCGGGGAGAGCCTCGGTTTGGAGGCATCTGCACAGACACCCGGACACTGACCAGAGCCAGCTCTGGCCCCCTCCCCTCGGGCTGTGCAGGGACTTCGGGGCAGGCGGGCAGGGGGAGGGCACGTGCTTGAGGAACATCGCAGAGAAGGCAGGGTGTAACAGGAGCGATTCCCCCGTGATGTCCAGAGGCAGCTCCAGGGCCACCCCATGGGCCCTGGCTCCCCTCCTGTCCCCTGAGGACCACGCTCCGAGGAGAGGAAGACCACTGCCGCCCCAGCCCCGTGAGGGGCACCCATGCCCCCTACGCGGTCTGTGCACGGGGCAGAGCCAAGACGGCTGCTGCCACCGTTCTGTGTCTGCAGGGAGTGTTCTTCTCAAGAGCTTATCTGGTCTCAGGCTACATCAGATTCTCTGGAACTAACAGGTGTCACAGACTCAGGTCCTCCCTCTTCCCCGCTATCACCCTGAGCCAGGCTCGGAGTCACTGCTCCCCAGAAGGGGGTGAGCCTAGAGGAACACAAGATGCTCCTCCAGGCCCAGGGAGCCTCTTCCTGCTGGCATCTCACCCCTGCGACCCCTCTCCCCGCCTGCCCAGCGGCTCTGCTGGCAGCACCCAGCCGGTCCCAAGCAGTCCAGGCCACGGCACTTCCCAGGAACAGGCACCTGGCTGGAAAAGTTTCCTTTGGCGCCAGCCTGGGGCCTGCGCTGGCCCTGGCCCAGGGACGGTTCAGATCCAGAAGTGAGGAGCCAGCCCTCGCTGGAGGGCCGCTTGGCCGTCACCTCCTGGGGCCTGGCCCGAGGCTGACAGCGGAAGCCGCGCCCCCGCCAACCAGGTGACAGCGGCCCCCACTACCTCCCCTCCTGCAAAGCCCCCAGAGCCTCCAGGGTCCCCTCCCCCGGCGCCTGGCCGGCAGTCGGAAGGCACTGAGCACCGCGCCGCCCAGCATCACGATCTCTGGCCCTCGAGTGCGGCAGGCCGAGTCCGTGCGGCTCCCGGAACGCACTGACCACCTGGGAGCATCCGGCGGGCGCACAGTCCAGCCCAGGTGCTCGCTGGCCTGGCACCCCGTCTGCTCGAGACAGACCGAGGCCCCACGCGGGCCCTGCCCACGGGCCCCTTCCCGCGGCCGTCCGCGAGGGCCCGCCACCGCCAGGCCCCGGGGACGCGAGGGGCGCGCCGCGCCTACCGGTCCTCGCTCTTCCCCTCCAGCCGGTCTAGCCCGTCTCCAGCCGCTGGGGGCGGCGGCACCGGGCGGGGGGCTTCAGCAGAGGCCGGGAGCGCAGCCATGAGCTCGGGGTCCTCTCCGCGGGCTGGGCGGGGCTCGGGGGCCGGCCGGGGCTCGGGGGCCGGCCGCGCAGGCTGTCGGAAGCTGTGGTTCGGGGCCCGGCACCAGGCGCCCGCCAGCGCGCCCCGCGGACTGCAATTCCCATCAGGCTGCGCGCGGCCCGCGGACTACAAGTCCCACCAGGACGCGCGCGCCCCGCAAACCAGAAGCCCCACGAGGCCGCGCGGCGCGAATGGGGGGAAGGCCCCCACCCGCGCTTTACCACAAACTGAGCTGCACAAAACCCCTGGAAAAAAATCAATAAACATTTATTTGATACAGTCATTTTTAATACATACAGTTGATGGCCCGCCCCCGTGCCACTTGGGGCCGGGGGGCGGGGACGAGGACCGGGGACAGATGGTCACAAGGCGGGCGGGGCCCGAGCTCACCGTCAAAACATCTTGCAAATAAACACTTTGTAGATAGAATATATACGTATATATATGGTTACAAGTTGACAGCCGGAACCTCTCTTTCGAAATGCACTTATTACGGAGAACTGGCATTAAAAACACCCAAACCGAGAAACCCCAAGTACAGGATGTGTGGCTGCCAGGCAGGAGGTGCTGGCTGCCCCCAAAACCCCAGGCCTCCAGGACAGCTGCCTGGGGCCCACCTAGGGGGACACACCGGGACAGCCCTCCCCTCTATGGGTCAGGGTGCACCCATTCTTTCCCTTCCAAACCAGAGGGACAGGAGGGGCCTACGACTGGGAGAGCCACCAGTCACACCAGGGGACACTCATCTGCCCTTGCATGAGCAAAAAAGTGCATCCTATTTTCGTGTGACGTGTCGGTCCCTTGAGTCGACCCTTTCCTGTTCTCAGGGCAAGTGGGGGTGGGCTGGGCCAGAGGTAGATCTTCAGAAAGGGACCTGACACTGTGCCCTGGGTTTGGGGTCTCAGGCAGGGTCCACACCCACCGCATGGAGGGGGGTGTCTGCCGCTCAGTCCCTCGCATTGAAGGTGTCAGTCAAGGCTACCTGGCTGCACTCCCACAAGAGTGGGAAGTGGGCAGATCTTGCTGAGCCACCCAGGGCTCTGCCACCGTAGGAAGAGGGCTCTGAGGACCGGCTTGCTGCTGCCACCCACCAGCCAGAGCATGGAAGCTGGGAGGGAAGAGGGGAGAGAGAGGGGTCCAACCCAGCGCCACTTTTGGCAGCAGTCCCCACGCCCACCTTAAAGACAAAGAAGGGGGTTAAAGTGCTAAACATCAAGTTACCCAGGACCCCACCTCTTCCCACATATCTGGTGGGGTTCCCATGCCAGGGACCACACGTGGACTTTCGGGGGTGACAATGAAACGCATCCCCCAGCCAAAACCAGCCCCCGCTCCCCAAGGGCCAAGTACCTGAGAGGCCGGGGCAGGCAGCTATCCCCAGCAGAGGTGTTGAGGTCCAACCTCCTCCAACCATTGGTGACAAGGACAAAGTGCGCGTGGGGCTCCCATCAGTGCCTGCTCCCCACCCTCCCCCTGGCAGCTGCCCCTGCAGTGGCTGCCCAACCCACCTCTACCTCCACCAGCTGTACCCCAGCGACACCCAGGAACACAGGAAAGAAAGCCCCCCTGCCCCGAAGTCATGCTGCTTGCCTCAGCCTTTGACGCTGGATTACCTGCACCTGCCCAGGCCTCTACCCCCTGATCAGATCAGGTGCGTGTGAGTCGGGGGAGTCCATGTCTCCACACCCCCTCCCTAGCACATCAGGCCAGGACTGCCCGGGGTCAGAGCACTCTGGCTGAAGGAAGAAGCCGGAGACGGGCAGCATGGCGCCTCGGCCCCAAAGCCCTCCTGGAAACCGTCTCCCTAGTGCAGGGTGAGGAGAGCTGGGCCCAGATTGGAGCCCCTCCTCTCCAGGGACTGGAGGAGGACAGGAGCTGGGGGGCAGAGGGGTGCCCAGTCAGCATCGCCTCCCTGAGCAGGAGAGGGACCCCAGCCCAGCCCCCAGATCCACCGTCGGCACCAGGAAACCCTTAGCACCAAAATGTCAGATTGTTGTGAGTTTTCATATAAAAAACAGAATTAAAAAAAAGGTTTGTTACTTGTCACAGCAACAAGACTGGCATCCACTACACCCAGGAGACACGCACACACGGGCTAATATCAAAATTCACATCGTCCGGGGTCGGCAAGGCCGAGCCCTCAGCCCACCCCCGCCCCCCCTCCCCCGGTGGAAAATAGCCTCCATCCAAGCCCAGCAGCTCTGAGCATCCTCCCTGTCCCAGCGACGCCATGCTTGGAAGGTGGGGCCCAGGCAGGAGGTCAGAAACCATGTGGCTGCATCCTCAGGGTGCCCTGGACTCCACCTGACCCAACCTACAGACCTCGCTGCCCTCAGGGCACCAAAGGGAGCCAAGACAGAGCCCTGGAGCTGCCACCAACCTACTGTGACCTTGGCCAAGCGCCCCCCGGGGCCTTCGGCTCTCACATCAAAAGGCCACACACCCAGAAACGAAGGAGCAGCTAAAAAAGGGGGAAGGAGGCTCCCACGGGAGCTTGGCCACGGGCCAACCCAGGCCAGCAACAGAGGCTGCTTCCCACAGTGGTCACTACTCGAGCCAGGCCCCAGGTCCCCGCCCCTCATGCCCGTGGGCCCCCGGTGACGCCGGAACCCAGACTGGCCCATCCCTAAACCCATCAGGCTACCCGACTCAGGCCAGTGGCATTAGCGAAGCTGGAGGCTGAGGCCAGAGCTCACTTCACATGGCCCCTGCCCCACAGTCCTGCAGCGGCAGAAGCAGAGCCTCTGCCTGGCCCCAAGTGGGGAGCACGACTGGGGACGGTGGAGCAGGGCTGCCTCTGCCACCACGATGGACAAGGGCCAGTGGGGCAGGGCCCGAGCGCAGCAGGGGCTGCACCGCAGGGGAGGGTGGGCCTGGAGAGGTAGAGAGCAGAAGTGCAGGAACCAAAAGACGGCGGGGGGGGGGTGGGGGTCGGGGGGGGTGCGGTGGGGCGGGCAGGTCAGCACGGCAGCTGTCAGGCTTGGGGTCTGTCCCGGGAGGTAGCTGGGGGGTGCTGGGGTTCCAGTGTCGGGTCACGAGGTGAGGCTGCTCAGGTACCCTCATCAGCCCAGAACCACGGGCCACCAGGGACCCCCGAGCCTTGGGCCCGAGAAAGCAGACGGGGCACGGAGCTCACACGCCGAGGACCAGAGGCCATTTGCCTGCTCCGTGCTGCCCCAGCACCGAAGCCCAGGCTGGAGCCCTTCCTCTTGCCGGCCCGTGAAGGTCCCTCCAGACTATTGCACTTCCGCAGCTGCCCTGGCCCTCCCGGGAGCCCCTGCCCAAGGTGCCCTGCGGCAGCCCGCGTGGGGCAGGGCCGCCCTCGGGGAGGGGAGAGGGCTGGCCGCCCCCGCTGGACAGATGAACAGGCAGGGGTGGGGGGTGGAGACCTGGAGGGCAGGAGGCTCTGGAGCCCCACCCTGGACAGAGGGGGCCGGGCCCCACCCACCTGCCAGGCTCCACACTCACTTCTCCGGCGCCTTGCCGGCTCCCACCTTCCGGCCAGCAGAGCCCCGGGCCCCCTTGTCTCTGCCTCCTGGGGGCCAGTCGTCCCGGGGGGCAGGCGTCCCAGGGGCTGGACCCTCAGGGGGCCGCCCCTTGGGCTTGCGGCCCCGCTTCCTCCCGCCCGCCGGGCTCTTTTCCTTTCTGGGCACCAGGGCGTCTGGGCCCTTGCGTCTGGGAGGCGGGTCTGCCGAAGTGCGAAACCAGTTCTGGGGGAGAGAAGCGGCGATGGAAACCGGGGCCAGGACCCTGGAGGGCGAGGCGGCAGGGGACCCGGGGCCCGGGGACACCCAAGCTTCTCTAGGGAAGCCGGAGGCTGCTCTGAAGAGAAACCGGCAGATTCCTCAACGCGGCCCACTCGCTCAAGTGGAGAGCCATCACCCTGACGCCCCTGCCCTTCCCGGCCCCCTCCATGGGGCCAGCGCATCCAGCCGCAGGCCCGGCAGGGCTCTCCCTCCAGGCCCCTGTCCCTGACGCACCTCCGCGTGGGCCTTGAGAATGTGGTACTTGACGCCGCTCTCGGAGCTGAACTCCTTGGGGCACAGCAGACAGCAGTACTTTCCCACCAGGTGGTCCCCCTGGAAGGCACAGGGCAGCCCAGCCCCTGCAGGTTGGCCCCCACCACTGGCCCTTGGAGGACCAGAAGTACCCAGATGCAGCCAGGACCACCCCAACCTGTGTGGCTTATCTGGATGCGTGCCTGACAGGTGTGCTCTGGGGACCCACGAGGCCACTCTGTGGCAAGACCACCAAGGTGCCCCCACTGCAGGGGAGGCGGGAAGCAAGGAGAGGGTGAGAAGAGGCAGGTGCTCCTGGGAAGGGTCGCAGCCCTTACCCCAAGCCCAGGTCGGGCTGTCCCAGCACAGACAAGGAACCCCCATAGGCAGAACCACCCGAGACTGAGTGACTGATGGCTGGGGCTGGAGGCGGCGAGCATCCTGGGCTGCGCTGGCCCTGGTCCCACAGGGGCAGGGGCGCACACCCGGTGTGTGCGGACCCCTGGGGGGCAGCTAGGAGCACCAAGCACGCACGCCTGGCCGCCGCAAGGGCCTGGACACTGACCTTGCTGCAGCTGGCCAGATGGGCCTTGAGGCCGGACACGCTGGAGTAGATGGCTTCGCAGCACTGTGGGCAGGAGGCGACCGTGGGGGCAGGCCCTCCGGCAGGCGCTCCCCGACCGGTGTGCACCCCTTGCCCAGCCCGGGGGACCCGGGGCCCATCTGGGGCAAGCGGGGGGACTTGATCCCAGGAGTCACCCCTGCCCAGGGCTGTGGGCAGGCTGGGCCGCTAGGGCTGAGGTCGAGGCCCCTCTGCCTGTGGGGCTCCGTCTGAGAACCCTGCAGGGGCCACGTGGAGGGCTCCCCCCAGGGCCACCCCTGGGCCCTCCGTCCTGAGTCCCAGTGTTCCCATGCCTGCCCAGCCTCCCTGGCTCACATCATTGGGGCAGTTGACGTGGCCCTTCTCCTTAACCTCGCTCTTCCACTCCTCCAGCAGCTGGGGGCTCAGCGCAGGAAGGCCGGGCCGTGTGTAGTTGAGCTGCAAACGTGGGCGGGTGCCAGGGTAAGCTCAGGGCTTGGGCTGGAGCTGACCCAGACGCTCCCTGCTGAGCTAAGAAAGCCCTCAACCACACCCTCCCGGGTCACGGGGGGCCTCAGGCTCAGAGACTGGGAGGCTGGGCTCACCCGCGCGGTCTCGGGCACCAGGTCGTCCTTCATGCGCCGCTTGGTCCAGTCTCGGGCCAGCTCGTCCTCTGCGATCTCCTGCAGGTGGAACACAGCGACCTGGGCCGACGTGCGGCGGATGCGGCCGCTGGGGGTCCGCTCAACACCCAACAGGTCCTCAGCCTCGGGGGCCTTGTCTGCAGGCTCCTCGGGGGGCTGCGGGGGTGGGGAGGGGAGGTCGGATGAGGCACAGAGAGCACGTACGAGCAAGCGCACAGGGGACACGGAAGCCCACCCCAGGCTCGCTCCCCCCAACCCACGACACACGTGGGCCCCTGGGAGGGAAGGCGGAGCACACGTGGCAGGCAGCACACGGGCGCGCCTGCCTGGTGCCCGAGGGACAGGAGGCCGGGCTGTGGGCCGCTCACCGGGGCCGCGTGCTCCGAGCGCACGTGGTAGTCGTGGCCGGCCTTGGAGCGGTAGGTCTTGCCGCAGTGGGTGCAGGGGAAGGAAGGGGTCTCCACCTCGCAGGGCGGCTTCCCGCAGCGTCGCTGGTGGTACTGGTAGCCCATGAGGCTAGAGAAGGCAGCCCCGCAGCCCTGGGATTCCGGGGGCAGGTGAGTGGCCGGAGAGCGGTGGGCCCCATCCCGCCTGGCGCCCGCACCCGCGCGGCCCACTGACCTCCTGGGGGCAGCGCAGCCGCCCCACCTGCTTCAGCACCTTCCGCAGCCACTCCCGCTCCTCGCGCTCGCCCGCCTCTGAGGCCTCGGCGTCACAGGGCTGCGGGGCAGGCCAGCTTCAGTGCCCCCACCACCACAGCGCCCCGCCCCTGCCCAGGGACTGCGGCCACGGGCATCCCTAGCCAGGCACGGGAGCCACTAAGCTCTGCTAGTGAGCGGCCAGCAGTCAGAGCTGGGCCGGCGCGGGGGCAGAGCCGCGGCCAGTGGGCGGGGCCCGCCGGCGTACCTTGGCGCTGTGCTCGGCCATGGTGTGGTAGTTGAGGCCCGCCTTGGACTTGAACTGCTTCCGGCAGTGCTGGCACTTCAGCGCGTCCTGCAGCTGCAGACGGCACGCGAGTGAGAAGCCGGCCCCGGGACGACTCCCCTCCCAGACGCTGGGGGCAGCCTCACCTTCTGACACACTTCCATGTGCTTCTTGAGCCCCACGAGGGTCTTTCGGGCGACCACGTTGCAGGTGGGGCAGACGGCCTCCCCCCGTTCGTGGATGGCCCGTTGCCACTGCTCCTCGGGGCCACCTGTGGAGCAGGGCCAGGGCCTCAGGGGCAGGCAGGAGCTCCCAGATGCCCTGGACGCCAAGCACAGAACCCAGGGTCCATGCTCGGCCCCGTCCCCACGGCTCGGGACCCGCCCTGCCCTCAAGACCGGCCTTTGCCCCGCCCCCCGGCAGCTCCCACCTGGGGCTGGGTGGGCCCCAGGGGCCGGCACCTCCTTGCTGACAGCGCTGGTGGGGGCTGGCCCCCTCTTCCGCACCTCCTCAGGGACCGGTCCCTCCTGCTTCTTGGCGCGGTGGATGCGGGCTTTGTCCTCCGCCTTGGCCAGGCCTACGCGCGCACGCGGGAGGGGCAGATGCAGGCTGAGGGCGCGGCCGCTGCGTGTGCTTGGCCCCACAGGTGCCCGGCTGGTCCAGGCCTCACCTTTGAGTCCGAAGGTCCCTGAGATGGAGGGCTGCTCACCCGTAAACTTCTTGGGTGTCTTCTGTTTCCTTCCTGACTCGGGGGAGAGAACACAGAGAACAAGGCTCTGGTCAAATAACCATTGGGAGGCTCGGGCCGGCTGGCCGCTGCCCCCGCCCTGCCACGGCCCCGCCCGGCCCCGCCCCCGCCCTGCCACCGCCCCCTGCTCTCGTCTTACTGTGCTTCGTGCGCTCCGCACCCTCCTCAGGTGGGGACACGGGGCCCGCGGCCCTCGGCGCGTCCTTGCCCCCCAAGGCTCTGCTGCTCAGAGAAAGGGGGCTGCTGCTGGGGTCTGTGCTCAGCTGGAAGGCTGAGCTCTGGTCTGTGGTGGACGGGCCGTACTCGCCGTTCTCCGGCCTCGCCTGCTTGGGTGGGAGCGGGCAGGCATCCAGGCCATCTGCGGCCCTGCAGAGAGCAGGGAGGTAAGGGGCGGGAGGGCCCGCTCTGGGCCCTGTTACCCCTGAGCTGCAGCTGGGGACACCCAACCCCACCCAGAAGAAGTCCCCATACCTTTTCTTACCACTGCTCCTCCCCGCGGCCCGAGGAGCTCTGTTCTCAGACTTGGTCAGCAGCACCATCTTGCAGGGCGGCGTGTGTCTGCTGATGGCAATAGGCCTGCTGACCGTCACCGGCTTACTGACCACAATGGGCCTGCTGACCGTCACTGGCTTCGCAACTGGCACGGGTTTCGTAACTGTCACAAGCTTTGTCACAGACACCGGCTTGTTGATGGTCACTGGTTTGGTGACCGGCACCGGTTTGTTGACTGTTACTGGTTTGGCAATTGGCACAGACCTGGTGACCGGTATAGGCTTGTTGACTGGCACAGGCCTAGTGACCGGCACAGCCTTGGTGACTGGCACGGGCCTGCTGGCCGTCACTGGTTTGGTGACCGGCACTGGCTTGGTGACCGGCACGGGCCGGCTGACCGTCACTGGCTTGCTGATGCCAATGGGCTTGCTGATTGTGACAGGTTTGCTTACTCCAATGGGCTTGCTGACCCCAACGGGCCGACTGACGGTAACTGGCCGGCTGACTGGCCCAGGCTTGGGGGCAGGCAGGGGTCGGTCCATGTGGTTCCAAATCCGATGCTTCTCCAGCTGGGTCTTAGAGGTGAATGCAGCCTCACAGAAGGGGCAGGGAAAGGTCAGCCTTTCTGAGATGGCACCCTGGGTGGAGAGGGCAGGCGTGGACACCCCCAAGCCAACAGCCAGGGCAGGGTGGGCCCCAGGCCTCCCCTTCCCCAGGCCACAGCCCCTTACCCCTTGGCACCGCTGGTAGTGGTACTTGAGCCCGTAGATGCTGGGGAACTCCAGCCAACACCCAGTGTTTGGACACTTCACCCTCGAGTGCGCCTTGAACTCGTCTTTCCACTGGTTCATCAGGGAGAGCTGGGCGTGGGAAAGGCCAGGCTGTCGACCCTGCAGCCACCCAGGCCTCTGCTGGCCAGCCCCCGACTCAGCACTGTCCCCAGGCCTGCGGGAGCCCCGCACGGGACCCGCTGGGCCCCAGGCCGTCTCTCGAAGCCCTCGCACACGGAGCAGCCAGTGGATCCGGGCTGAGGGCTTGGCACTGGACACGCAGCAGGCAAGCCTGGCAAGGCAGTGGGCTCCCCGGCAGACCCTATGAGAGTCCCACCCAGCCCTCGGGGAGCTCACAGGAATGTCTCGGAGGGCCTGGTTCTCGGCTTTCGGACGCCCCTTTTTCTTCCCTTCTGTTCTGTCGCTGGCTGGACTTCCCGGGTCAAAGCAGAGTGGGGCCTGGCTGGGCACTGTCGGCCCACCCCGGCCTACCGGCAGCCCTGCAGCACACAACACACCAAGGCTCAGAGGCTGCATTCCCTGCAGCCTTGTCTGCCACCCAGGGCGCTGGTCCCACCTGCAAGGAGCCTCATTTCCCCTGCACGGAGGCACGAGGGGCAGGAGGCCGTGGTCCACCCAGGGCCCCAGGCTGCCCCCACCCCGAGAAGCCTCTCAGGAGTCAAGGCTGGGCACCCAGGAGCTGGACATCCCGGGAGGCCCACACCCAGCACTGGCGCCCGTGACCACCTGGAGGTGACCTTGCCCTGACTCCTCTTACCCAGCTTCGGTGGGTCGTGAAGCATGGGAAGTCGGACCTCATTCCGGCCGCCATCCCTCCCAGGCCCACTCTTGCTGGACCCCGGGAGCCGGCGGCCTCCTCCAACACAAAAGGGATCGGTCATCTCTGCAGAGCAAGCGGACAGCCCATGAAGTCCACTGGGCCCAACTCAGGACTTGAAATGGGCTGCTCTTGACCCTGCCCCAGACAGGCCCACTCTCCGGCCTGAGGAAGGGGAGCCAGCCTGCCTGTGTTTTTGGCCACAAGGGAAAGCCGGTGAAGGGGTGGATGGGCGGGGGTGGGGGGTGGGGTTCCGGTTTAGGGGAGGGGCTGCTCAGCCAAAGTCTCCCTGGATGACCCAGAAAACCCTATCAGCGTGGAAGAATCTAGCCCTGTCCTGAAGCCTTCACCAGCTCCAGGGGGCTCCCTGCCTCCAGACACACAATCCCAGAGAGTGAGAGAATCATGCACCTCTCACGCACCTCGTACCTGGCGCTTAGCTGGGGATGGCTCCAGGAGAGGCGGAGTGCCCCAGGGGAGGAGGCCAGTGACCCCCTCGGGGGCCAATTATGACACCAGCGTGGCTGCCGGCTCACAGGCTGTGCTGGCCCCGCACCTAGAAGCACCTTCCCCCACAGCCCCACCCAGACCCAGGGCCACGCTCTGGGGCGCAGGTGGGTGCCCTCGCACCCTTCTCCTCAGGACACAGTTGGAAGATGGCCAAGGTGGGCACTGAGGGCCCCAGCCCACTCCCCAACCGTGCACACACCCTCTCCAGGGGGAGCAGACCGAGGACCCTGCAGCACCGGCTTCTGGTCCCTGTGCCAGCTGATCTACCCTCCCTGACCCCCTGCACTGCTTTGTTTCCCGCCGGGGCCCCTGCAACCAGACGGACGCCCCATGCTGGATCCCTCGGCCACTCTCCACCTGGCTGACCTCCTCTCTTTCACCCTCCAGAGACTCTCTGTCCCCAACCTAAAGGCCCACCAGCGCCACTCCAGAGACCACAGGCCCCTGGCCACAGAGAACATTCCGCCGACTGAGGCTGGGCTTCAGTGGGCCCATTCTGCTGGGGGACACCAGGCTCTGAAAGAGCAACTCTGAGTTCAGCCCTTTTGGGTCCTCCCACAGGGACGCTTAAGGCCACAGAAGGGGGGGCCGGAATGTGGGCAGGTTACCCCTCCCCTGATGGTTTCTAACTTTTTTTTTTTTTTTAAGGCTGCTCCACACAGCATGTGGGATCTTCATTCCCCGACCAGGGATTGAACCAGTGCCCCCTGCGGTGGAACCGTGGCGTCTTAACCACTGGACCGCCAGGGAAGTCTCCTAACTTCTAACAGAGAGAAAAGGAAGGATCTGCTGTGCCTAGGAGGTCCAGAGGCCATCCGGGCAGACTGAGATCAGAGATCGGGACAGTCGCTGCCCATGGTCAGGGGGCTGCCTATATCCTGGGCCTGGGGTCAGTACAGGTCCCGAGGACTCTAAACAAACTTCTCTGGAAGCCCCCTCACACTGATACCTCCAAGGAGACATGCCAGCGCCCTTCTGACCCCAGCAGAGGCTGCTGTGGGTACCTGCTGAGCCCCACCTTTCCAGCCTTCCTCCAGCTTGGGTGGAGAATTCGGAGTTGGGAGCCCCCGAGACCAGGGCTGGCCTAGGAGGCAGAGACCCCCCTTCCATTCAAGGCCTGTGACTCGCGCAGCAGGAGGAGAAAGGGCTCGCCCCTCCGCAGAAGGGCCAGCAGGGTCGCAGAGGTGGGACCCTCTGGAGGGGGGGATAGGAGCGCCTCGCGCTGACCGCAGGCGACGCTGGCGGTGGGACCGCGGCCCAGGCCGCTCGGCCCGGGACGCCGGCCTGGGCCCGGGCGCGCGGGTGAGGCCGGCCAGGGGACGCACACCTGGGGGCTGGCCTCGCTACCCAGCTGTCACCTGCGGCGGGGGCGGGCCCGGCGTGGCCCCGGAAGGGCCGATCCCGG